GTGGATCCAGGAGAAGGAACAAGGTTCTCCGGAGGAAATTTTAGTCCAGGTAGCACCGACACCATTTGAGCGGAAATGCTCAAACGGGGTTCCTAAACCTTAACTGAAATAAAAATAATGATTCTGATTGGACTTAAAACAGATTCGTGGAGAACAAGATGTATGGGAAGCAAAGGTGAAAATAGAAAATCAAGAGGAAACCTGGCTGAAGTTTAGAGACATTCAGCATGCAAGATACCAGACAGAAGAGGATCAGGTGGTAGAGGCAGGATAGTTCAGGTGATGGTCTATCCCGTAAGCCATAAGCTTGTAGATCGCCTCGCAACTTGCGAGGCAATAGGCGTCCCGGCAAGCGAAACATCCATCAGCCTCATCATCTACCGACCGCTAAAAGAAGATCGGTTCAACAAGGTTCTCTCCGAATTCCCCGAGTTACGTAAACCGTCGACCATTCTTCCGCAGGTCAGCACTGACATTTTGTACCAGATCGTCACACGGGGTACACCCGTCCACTGCCGTCCCAGACGCCTCGCCCCAGACAAACTGAAAGTGGCACGGGCAGAATTTCAACACATGTTAGACCTTGGAATCACACAGTCCTCTTCCAGTCAACGGGCCTTGCCTGTATATAGGGTTCCGAAAATGTCCACCGAAGACTGGCGTCATTGCGGGGACTATAGAGCACAGTGTCTTGCTGCCTTGTAGCTACACCGTGCCTGATACGAACTGAGCCCTTTTTCAAAGTGCCCACTATCGACTCCTTGTGGCCAGAGCCCTGTCCTAACATGGTTTCCACCACGGTGGCCGTTGTTTTAGACTCCTGGGTCTCAGGGGTGCAAACTTCGGTGAGCTGCAGTAAACTATCTTTAATTGCAGTCCATCTCTCTTCGATTTTGGGCTCAGCTGTTGACGGTTCTCAGCTTGAGTCTAACGCTGCCTCTCAAAGAATCTCTTCTTGCACACTCTTATACAAGAGAACCATTTTTATCCCTGGCTTAGAGTACTGCACCAGTACATTTAAATGAAGAACCGCATGGTCGCTCCTGTCTAGGGGAATCTGTATGGTGAGAATAACGACACCTAACCTTGCTCGAGATATAGCTGAGTCAAGGATAGAGAGCCTCTGGTTGAAACGGAACCGGGCGGGTTCCCTTACATGTTGCACAAGCACGTGCGAATGGATCCACTCCAGTAGCGCCCACCCCGCAGTTCCTCTGGGAGCACGTTCTTCTATCCAAGCTATTTCGGGAAGGTTTAAATCGCCCATAATGAGGAATCCGTGGGCTCTTCGAAGCACCTTTTGTAGGGTACGCATCAGATCACTATCCTCAGTCACCAACTGCAGTGGCCACTCTCATTGGTGACAGGTAGTCCGCATAGCTAAGAGGAATCCACCCATTTGCCTCCCGTTGACTCTATCCTGTCTATATTCGGTGTACTCCTGCAAATCCAGGACCATATCTTCAGTCTTGAGCCAAGTTTCAGTGACAGCAATGACATTTGCTTCTGCTGTCCTGGTCTTTCGCTCTCCCCATTTGCCCCGGAAGTTGCAGGCATTTGTAAACCAGACAGCAACATCAGGGGACCTGTGATTTATTTTTTTGGGCTGTTTCCTGTTGGAGTGCCCTCGGGCGTGAGACCCGAGGGAGAGTCAAGTCTTTGCTTTAAGGGAGGATAATTTTGAAGTCACTTTTACGTTCCATTTAATGCTGTCATTCTTAATTCTGATGTCCTCGACAGTGAATTCGCACTTCGCTCCATCTTCTGAGGGAGCTGGCGACTGACCTTTTACTAGTACATCTTGCACTGATAGCCTCAGCCTTGTTGTCGGCGTATTTGCAACAACAGTTGCCCAACTGGCCGACCTAGGGCTTTGAGTGTTTGAAATGGTTTTCTTCACCAAAGCAGGTACGATATTCGGAACGCTTTTCATCAAAGCCTCGTGGCTTTGCTTTTTTATTTCATATGAAGCCGTCGCTACGCATCATTTATACTAGTTTTATCGGGCTTCGTTTCTTTTGAACGATGACAGCCCTTCTTTGGCTTATTGCAATTTGAGGCACATCTCAGATGGCCCACCCTTAGCTCTGTCACAATTTTAGGCGTAGAGCTACCTAGCGATACCCTATTTACTCTTTGTATTTGTTCAGCTAGTCCTGTTGCTGGCACGGTCAATAGTACCCAAGTTCTTTCCACCCCAGCCAGTCGTGGCTTTTGTGGGCCCGAGACTGGCGTAACCTTAGGTGCTTGAGTGCCAGAGTCAGGTGTGACTCTCACACGACAACCTGTGACGGTGTCTACTTTCACTGCACGCGATAGCACGGTGTCTCTTTTGTACATACTCAGAAAGGCTACTAAGAGCAGCCTTGGTCCAAATGCTTTAAAGACTTTCCATTCTCTAATGCAGCGGCACTTGACAAGTGGAGTGCTTGCGGGCATCCAAGTCATCCTGAATATGTCGTGGAGGCTGCGCTTATCGAATTCCTTTCTCGCCCTAATTTCCTGGATACCTAGATCACACAAATTATGGAAGACTAGGTTTCGCGTCATACCTAACATCACTTGAGTGGAATTTTTTACCATGGATAATTCTCTTTCAAGGAATTCCATCCGCGAAAATAGGGCTGCAATCTCTCCAGACGCTTTATCTTCCTTTTCAGCATTCTGTCCCCCTTTTGTCTTCAACTAAAGTTTTACCGACTCAGTCGGTTTAACACTGATGCTCTCTTCACCCTTGTTCTTTGTCGGCGTATTTGTTCTCTTTTGTTGCATCTTAGGGGTTAACCTCTCAGCAGCAACCATAACAAGTACCAATCGCGAGCACTCTAGCTCGAATGCCTCGCACCGGTCACATTACCAATTCAGATTCTTATTTTGAAGATGTATGAGATACTTTCGCTTTGCTAAAAGTAAGCAATTTGATAGTATCACTGTAACAGCCAAAAAGACTGAAAAGTCCTCTCAATTACCTTGCATTTCCTTATCTTTCTTCGCCAGTCTATCGTCCATCCTTTCCGACAGTGGTTTTGTGTTGGTGAATTTTCTCTTCTGAACCTTCTGTTTCATCTTTTTTACGGTAAAGCATATCTATTGCACACACACTTCAAGTGCTTTGCTCTTAACATGTAAATGGGATTCAGTGCTTTTTTATGTTTTATTGCAATCAAGCTTTCAATTGGACGCTCTTTGTTGAACTAACCATTGCTTTCGGTTATATTGAACCCCTTTTGGCTGTAACTCTCAAGGTTATTTTGCTTGATCTGTTGAAGCGTACAGAATTTTTCTATTGTTTCAGAATTATCTGAAAGATAGTTCAGATCACTCATTTTCTTATTGACCTTTTATTACCATCGACTTTTTCTGTGAATATTTATAACATTTCGGCTGGATAGTGAATCAGGCTCACCATCAGAGGTATGACTGCCTTATTTATTTGTGATTAATGCAAAAATAATACCGTAGATTATTTTTGGATCGACTTGGTTCTCGATAATTTGGGCTACGCGTTGCTCTGAGATTTGTTTATGGCTATCCAGAACGAGCGAAGGTTCATTGATTGAACGCGTACCGACGCGGTCCTTTTCTTTACGCTCGGACCAGGACACTCGCGTTTTGGTCCTTACAACCACTTTTTGCATCTATTACACTGAATGCCGTCCGCTACATACCGATGGAAACTAGTGTCTCAACAATGAATTTCTCTCTGCTAGAAAATCATTGATAAATGTGCAACAACCGGGAAAAACGGATATGCGGGTAAATTCACTAAAAGCAATTTGGGAACACAACTATAAAAAACTAAAAACTACTCAAATACATCTTATTTTACCGTTAAACAGTTGAACACTTTGAATATTAAACACCAATTGGTCCAGGGCTAAAAGTGTGAAATATCTATAGATACTTCACTGGTATTGAACCACAAGCTTCATATACCAAGAGCAATTCGAAAATTCAAACCATGCACTTTGCTTTCACAGGACGGAGGTGGTTGAGACCAATCGTGCGTCCAGATTGTTGTATTGTCAGCTACTTGCCTTGGCTTCCAACACTGCTCGTCAAACGTTCGTTCTGTTTTTTCGTGTTCCTTTGTCTTCTCTAAAGTGGACAGCTCCGGAAATACCACGTTCTAGCATAGATTAAAGGCTTTTGAAAAGGCCACCACTGTTGAGCAGCTTGTGAAATTCTCCGGTATACTGTTCACGGGATTCACGGGGATTGACGGGCTTAGGAAACGTAGTTTTCGAGTACCCCGGGTTCTGCTGGTAGGTTTATTGCTTAGTGACGGACGGAGGTCCTCGGAGTAGTTGTCTGTTACTCGGTAGCCGATTGTATCTGAAACAGGAGACAGTTAGGAATGCTACTGTATTTTTTTCGCTCTCACGTAACCAATGGTCAAGACCACACAAATGGGGTTCACAAAGGCTCTTGCCACCACACTCTTCGCAGTGTTCAAATGGCGCCCACCGTTACAAAACCATTCTAGACTGCCAGGACGCACAACCGAACCATACAATCATTCTTCCAGCAGTCGGGGTGAAAGAGTAAAGAAAAGCAGTACGTTAGGTAGATAGGGGGAATGGAGTGGGTTTCAACCCTCATCTTTCCAGAACCGCATCTGCAGCTTACTCGACACTGGACCGACAGGTTGCTCCAGGGCTACATGATGTGGCCGCTCCGACCAAGAGTTTGGTGTATAGATGAATGCACTGTGTGAAGGTTTTCCGGGTGCATGAGTGCTGTTTGCATTTAGGGAGGCAGTACTTTTGTGCCCTTACCCGAATCTGGTCTTCGACTGCGAGTGATTAACCGAGAGAGTGATTCTCCCACCATCTCACTTTTTGTTTTTATTTTTGTTTTCTTTCTTTCACTTTCCTTTTTGATTATTTCTTTTTCTCGTTCTTCTTTCCTTAATCGGTTGACAGGATAACTAACTATTTTGATGGCTCCTACGGTTGGGACCTGGTGGGTATCCTTCTTTTTTCTTCTTTTTACTATTTCCGCGTTCAACACCATAGGGCGTTGGGAGTCGACCCCAGTTTATCGTTTCACGAATTAATCACTTTCACGTTTTCCTCGCATTATTGTCTAGCCGGTAGGTTTTCTTTCTTTATCGTTATGTGTATTTTTTCCTGGGCCATGAGGGATAAAAATCCCTCTGCCTTGCTTGGATTGGGGTTGTGTTTAGTGGAGGATGGGTGTTCTATCAGCTGGGTGAGTTACCTTCGTGATACATACCGAGTGATCAACCGTTTGGTCTCCGACCTTGTTCGCAGAATACAGCTCTGGCATCAGCGAGGACAGAGTAACGATAAAAATTCAGGGGTCACACATCCACATCGCCTCATCTGCAAACATACACAAAAGTAGTAATAATAATAACGGTATATTTCACGAAGCCCGTGAAGCATGCTATTGCGCATGATCAAATGTACGACAATGTAAAACAATGACGGTCTAGACAAAGATTAGTTGCACAGAGATGGTAGGAAAGTAATTTTCAAGCGGGCACAGAAGACATCGTAACCATTCATTGCAGTGAAAAAGAAACACGAAGCGGACAAGGTCGTATAATGGAGTACTGGGGGTGATCTGTTAGGAAGATCACATCAATGAAGACGACTGTCTTTTACAGGACATTGAGGAAGACAGAACTGGAATTGAAAATATCCGCTCGGGAGATAAGGCGCAAAAACGATTTCGAA